TTGAGGTTATAATAATGTGGTTCATGGGGTTTATTAACCTACTTACTAAGTCTCTCTGACCCCTCAAGTACACATCCGTGTTCTCGGACCTACAACAAACTTGCAGTTGTTAGGGTTTAGGGCTTAGGGTCCTTAGATCCTAGACCCGAAGCCCTAAACACGAAATCATATATGATATGCTCTGTCATGCCTAGCAGCCAAATGTTAAAGAAGTACTGGGCCTCACTGGTTCATACACTTTTCTGTTGCCCCTGTAAGCACATGGTTTAGGATTTGAGGCTTACGGCTTAGGGCTTATAGAGGTTAGTGCGGGGATGGGGAGAACGAAGGCCGAACCCCTCAAGCGAGTATACGATGCCACCATCATTCCAGGGGTTCAGATAGAGAGAGCCATGCAGATTTTGGCCAACAACAGTACCATGTCCCTTTTGCTGGCTTCAGGTCTTTTATTGCGAGCAAAAAGCAAACCACTGCACATGCTCACCTGTTTCAAAGCTGCCGCAAATCACGGGTCCTAGTCGGCATACGGACCGAGCCTCATCGTGTCGAGGTTTGAAGTCATGTTGCCAGTACTATCCACAAGAATGCTTTGCCAACTAGGGTTTAGGGTTTAGCAGAATGGGTTGAGGATTTAGGGTACACCAAAGCCCCATTCTAGTCCCCCGCTGTTGGAGCAGTAATGACACTTGCTTCGAATGCCATAAATTGCTGCACTGCTCGGTTGAGCCCCGCACCCCGAACTGTGCTACTTTATATGACATACCTTCTGCACTTGTTGAGCAGCAAAAATTCCAATCTTTGCTTGAACTTCTCGAACACATCATTTCCAAATTCTAAGATCTTGCCTAACTTTGTGTTTTGCCATTTCTTCCGTGACTGACTGTAAACACTCATTCTCTGAATGCACAAAGCATTCTTGTTTCACCTTCGACGCAACAGACTCATTTCCGCTTCACACCAAAGCCCCACTCTGATAATTTTGGCCCCGGCACGACTCCATGCTTACTCGGTGATCCAATAATTGTGCAAGGACTTTGCCAAGGCTGCTGAGGTCAAGAGAGCTATGGAAGAGCTCCTTTCGCACCAGGACGTCCTCCAATCCGGATTCGCCGCTACTTTCCAAATACCCATAAGAAACAATTCGAATTCAAAATGACGCGTAGAAAGGCTACTCCTACGGGCATGTAGGATGTCTAGGTAGGGATTTATGTAGGTTTCCCAAAGCCGTATGAACGTGGCATTCGGTCATGGTTTGAGGAGGGCAGAAGGGGAACCTATAGTTGCAGACAGAATTTCTTCCCTCTAGAATAACCCACGCCACCCTCCTGGTAAGCAGCATTCGGCATTCCCCTTGATATTTGATTATGTTCTCATGTTGGGGGAACTCATTTTAGATTTTTAGTGGGTGCGGGCGGCGATTATTGGGGATTAGTTATATCTTGTGGCCCTTACGCCTTCACTGCAACACGCGTTTTTTCAGAAGTCGAGTCAGTTTTGGAGTGTATTGGCTCTCACAGCCAACGTACACACCTCCTTGACCATGAACCTCTGTTGAACTTCAATCCATGGATCTGCAGGACCACGCGCACAAGCACGACGTGCCTTTGGGCTTCACGAGCAGTGACATCCCTCTGTCGGAAGTGGCGCGGCACAACAAGCCGCACGACTGCTGGATTGCCATCTGCGGCGAGGTCTACGACCTCACGGACTTCCTGCAGCACCATCCGGAGCAGCGCAACTCTATCCTGGCCTGGGCAGGCCGAGACGCCACGCCCATGTGGGACAAGATCCCAGGCCGCTTCCCAAGCAAGCAGTGGATGGAGTTCTTCATGCGCCCCGAGTTCAAGACTGGCAAGGTGGGACCCGAGCCACCGGTGGACAACATCATCCGTGAGCTCCGTGAGCTGCATGACGAGCTGCATCGCCTGCAGGGCCCCTCCAAGGAGGAGATCGAGGCGGTGAAGACGGCGGTGAAGGTGCCGGGCAAGACGGACGCCCCGACCCTCTCAGAAGAGAGCCGCTTCCCCAAGCTGGCGGAGATCTCCGCGGGAAAGGACTTGCCTTTCTTCACCCGTGCGGAGGTGGCGAAGCACAACACGGCCGAGGAGCCCTA